CCTTTCTTCCCCATCGGTTGTCGGTTCTTCGAGCTATATGGCCGGCCCACTGCCACTTCAGCTTACTAATCCGTTGGGCTATGTCGGTTACTCTGGTTCTACTGCGGATATCCTCATTCCTAAGTTTTGCCTACAAAAAGGTAAATATAAATATTTACTAACTCAAGTGACCTAATACAAAAATAACAAATATTTCAATATCACGAACAATATATCGAATTAACTACAATTACTTTATTTTATTCTTTAGCTGGCATATCTGCGTACTAATTACAGTTATTGCTAATTCTTTAACGACTCGTTGCTGACATCCCCCATTGTTTTAAAACTATACTTAAACCTGTGGCAACACAGGTTTAAGTATAGTTTTTAACTGTCTACATTTTAACTGTAATGTAAATGCTTATTTCAGATTCACCAAGAGATAGCTGGTGATCCAGACATGCCTGTTATGTCGAAATCAACATTAAGAAAAGTATTGAAACATTTAAATTTTAAATACGCAAGTCGCAAACGTCGAAGTGCGCTAACAGATCGCAAGGAGATAGTACTATGGCGTCAAAAATACTTGCACCAAATTTAACAATATAGAAGAGAAGGCAGGTTTATATATTACCAAGATGAAACGTGGGTGAAGGTAAATATTGGTTAATGTGGTAATTAACTTTTTATAACCTATTTTTTCTTCAAAGTATTAGTCGACAATCAAATTCTGTACTTATGTAACACTTAAATTAACTTTGGTTAATAAATTTCTGTTGCCAAAATGAATAAATAAATAAAGAAATCCATATTTATGTGTAATATTTTTCAATTTATATGCATATATTAATTAACTAGTAAAAAACTGTCCTCGTGTATAAGTATATTTTTATTTTCAGGACATACATCAATAAAGTGTGGTGTGATACCAATATTCAATCTTCACGACAAGCTTTCCTCGATGACTTGACAACAGGGCTTAATGCACCTACAGGCAAAGGGAGGCGACTTATAGTTAGCTATATAGGAAGCGACGAAGAATTTTTGGAAGATGGCTTATTGGTTTTTGAGGCAAAACAAGGCTTGGCAGATTACCACAAGGAGATGACTGAGGAAGTATTTGAGGAGTGGTTCACAAAATACTTCCAAAATTAAAACCAAACTCAGTAGTAATGTTGGATAATGCTCCCTATCATTCGGGGAAGGTCGAAAAAGTACCAACAAGGGCCATGGAGAAAAGGCGATTGGATATCGCCTTTTCTCGCGTGGTTGACTTCAAAAAATTTAAAGTTTGAAGAAAAAATGCTAAAAGTTAATATATTGGAAATTGTGGATCAGGAGAAATACAAATACTAACAATGTATTGTAGACGAGATGGCCGCAGCACAAGGCATTACAATGCTTAGACTGCCCCCATATCACTGTGAGCTCAACCCTATTGAATTGGTGTGGGCTCAAGCGAAGGGGCGTGTCGCAAGGCACAACAGAAGTTTTAAAATGGCGGAAGTTAAAAAACTATTACTGGAAAGTATAAGTAATGTTACTCTTGATAAATGGCAAGAATGTATCAGCCATATAATCAAAAAAGAAGATAAGATGTGCATTCTCGACGATTTGATTGACACAGTCGCAGACTCTTTAATGATTCATGTCAGCGATGATGATGATGATAATGATGATGAAGATAGTGATATAAGTATTAATGATGATTAAAGATTTTAATAAAAATATGTTATCTTTATTTGTACGTTTTTACTGTTTGTAATGAAAAGGGACGTAATTATCACACGCCGTAAAAACATTTTTAATGTGGAGCACCGCACTGATTAAAATGAATACATTCACTAACAAACAAAATTAAATGTATGTATAAGCTTAGATGTTCCGACTCGTATTGAAATTGAAAAATGCGCCCGGCCAAAAAGGTTTGGATTCAAAACCAAAAAAGTTTGGTTTTGAATCTATCCGAGTACAGAACTAGAGTACGAAACCTATCCAATTGCAGAGAGGTGTAAGACAGGGTGATGTTATATCCCCGAAACTCTTCACCGCTGCATTGAAAGACGTTTTCAAGCTTCTGGACTGGAAAGGATACGGTATTAACATCAATGGCGAGTACATCACTTACCTTCGATTTGCCGACGATATAGTCCTTATGGCAGAATCGCTGGGGGACCTAAGCACTATGCTCAATAACCTCAATAGTGTTTCTTCATTAGGACTGCAGCATCGCCCAAATTTCGACGGAATCAAAGGCTTTCTCATAATCCGCCAGACATAGTGACAAATTGTACTCCTCGGACTTCTGTACAATTTGCCGAAGGGTATGTATGTGATTTATGGTACTAAAGCCCTTTCGGAAACCGGCTTGTTCGGGAGGCTGGAAGTCGTCAAGTCTGCGCGCGAGACGATTCGTAATGACTCTCGAAAATAGCACGTAGACGCGGCTCTGAAGGGAAATTGGTCTGTAGTTCTTCAAGAGAGCGCTGTCGCCTTTCTTGAAGAACAAGACCACCGCACTTCTGCTCCACGCCTCCGGTGTAATGCCACCATGGAGGACGGAATTAAAGAGTTTTTGAAGGACTTCAAGTACCGGTCTTCCAACCGCTTTCAGAAGCTCCGCTGTAATTCCATCCTCGCCTGGGGCCTTGCCGTTTTTAAGGTGCTGGAGAGCCATTTTAATCTCGCTCAGACTGACGTTCGGGATATCTTCGGAATAGTGTCGGATAAGACTCGCTCTTGGATCGTTACTCACTCCAACTCGCTCCAACGATGACGTGTACAGCTGCCCATAGAACCTCTCAATCTCACTCAAAGTCTCAGGTGTCCCGGAAATAATGCTGCCACTCGGTCTTCAGCTTAGACAGTTGGCTCTTTCTGGACGACAGATATCTGGCAAAGACTTTGGAGCCTTGGTTCCGCTCGATCGCTTCTTCAATACAAGCTGTATTGAAGTTGCGTAAGTCCCGCCGCGTGCATTTTGAGATCTGTCTGTTCAGTTGCCTGTATGCTGTCAAATCTGTTGAAGAATGTAACTTCATCTCCCGTCTAACAGCCATGAGATTAAGAGTGCGATCGGAGAGTTTTTGTGTTCTTCTGCGATGGGTCTTGCAGAACTTAGCTCCGGCCGCATGGACAGTATCCACGAGCTTATCATTCAAATCGTCCACTTCATTGCAGTCTTCTAAGCACTGAAAACGGTTTTGTAACTCGAGCTGAAAGGTTTCAGGACTTTGAAACAGAGCACGAGGGGGACAGAGCGTTGACTTCATTAGACGAGACCTCTCCAACTTAACGTTTAGGTTCAGTGTGCCTCTAACCATTCGGTGATCGCTACCAGTTTTCACCCTCGCGATCACGGAGACATCACTGAACAGTTGTCGTCTGGTCGTCGTAATGAAGTCAATCTCATTTTTTGTCGAACTGGCTGGGCTCGACCAGGTCCACTTCCGCTTCTGGAAGAAAGAATTCATCATAAAGAGTCCCTCTTTCTCCATGAAGTCGGCCAGCTGCTGGCCCCTTGGGTTCCGTTGCCCTATTCCAAATGTCCCTACTTTCAGCTCACCGTTCTATCTTGTGCCTAGTTTTGCATTGAAGTCTCCCATTAACACCATATATTGGGTTTTGGAGGAATGTATGGCTCTAGAGATATCCTCTTACATATCCTCCACCTCCTCATCAGGGTATACCGAGGTTGGTGCGTAAACCTGTATGACCTTCAGCGAATACCGTTTGGTGATTCTGAGTATAAGGTACGCAACCCTCGTCGACACACTCTCAATCTTTACAACGTTGTCAACGAGAGACTTGTGGACGATAAATCCGTTACCTCCTTGGGACAGATGGTCGTCCTCCTGGTGATAGAGCAAGTTACCGGATTCGCGGATTATCGCTCTCTTCGGACTTCGGATCCTATAATATGCCAGCGTAACTTGTCTATCTCTTCTTCCAGCTTCACAATCTTCTCGTCAGTCCTCAGGGTGCGTGCGTTGTATGTTGCCAGGTCGAGTCGTCTTAGGTGGCAACCGAACCTCCACCGGAGATTCTTAGCACCCCCTGCCCCGCCGTTACCATGGTCGAAACCGTAGCCAGTAATAGCGGGGACTGGGGGCCATCTCTTTGTTACATTCATAGGGGGCTATTTGCCATAGGTGCCACGCTTGGCGAGCGGGCTGGCAACCGCAGTTTTTTTATTGTATTTTTGCTGTTATCAGGAAGATGCTGCTGCCCATCTCCTGCCTGTTTCCCTTTGTCGCCTTTTACAACACCCATGGGAACATATGGGGTAGCGGATATTCTTAACCGCTACTACACGACAATATACAATACGGTAATGCTGCTTGTTAACACAGCCATTTATCAAGAAAATGCGCCTTGTTTGCTAAAGATGATTTTTCGACCAAAATTGGGGCCCTAATCCAAACGCTTCGAAACCCAATCAGGGAACAAACAGCGTTGTCTGTGGTCATGAAATTTGAGCTCCTGGGTCAGTTGGATCTTATACTGTTGTAGACCTAAGTCCCGACGCAAAATTCGCCAAGTTGAAGTCTGCGAAAGGCCGAGTTCTTGTGCACGGTGAAGAATCGACTGCCTCGGGTTCTGCTGTACATTTTCACGAACCGCGACGATGTTCTCGGTCGATCTTGCGTTCCTTCAACGTACGGATGTTAGCTTATTGTTTACCGAACCGGTCGTTAAATTTGGCCACCAAACGTTGAAGAGTCGATTGTGAAGGGCCACCACGTCCACCGTAAAATGGGCGCAGTGTGCGCAACGTTTGCAGTAACGTACACTCAATTTAATAATGAAGTTTTATCATTTGAACTTGCTGTTTAATCGGGTAACTTGCCATGGAGATTTGGCATAAATAACTGAATAATAAACAAAAGATTTGATAGATGTCACCAAAATAAAAAGGCTGCCACGGGCCGCCAAAATCTACCCGCGTTAATTGAAAAACCCTTTACATACGTCCTTAACTGATATATATGGAAATAAAGAAGTCTAAAATCGCTTACGATAATTCTCCTTCCCGTCAGCCAGCATCTTAGGATCAGCCAGCTCTGGATACCTGCCAGTCAGCCAAGATAGCCACTCTCCCAGGACTGTGGCGGCCCGAGGCCGTATTATCGGCGCTGATATCTCCCGCTCTCCGGTCGTTGGAGGTAACAGGACTACGGCGTAGCCCCGTAGCGAGTCTCCGCCGATGGCGTTATGTGCTTTTACAGTTATGATTACTTGCGGCCCTGGAACGAAACGTCATAACGTAAACTTGTTTGAAAAATTGAGAATTTACGCCTGAATCTATACCACAAAATAAAATGAATAATAGCACCCTATACGTACTGTTATAATATAAACAATTATCTCAACATCTATACACATAAAATATATACAGATATAAAATTTATAATTTGTATTTTTGCGATATTATTAACCTGATTTTGAACAAAAAGAAATATCAGCACGTTTCAATAATAATGACAAGTAAAACTGTGAAGTGCTCGAGCTGTAAGATCGTTATAAATGAGATTATAGCTTTTGTTCAAAACAAAGCGGATGTTATGGACGAGGACATCTGTTATATGCCAGAGCTCGGTCTCTGAGGACGACTTATTATATGCGAAAAAGTTATTGTTCGATTCCTGTGCAAGTAAAACCCAGAAAAATACGACAAGAAAAGGAGCTCGCAAATCAAAGCTTGACATAGAGGACATCATCGGTTTTATTAAGCAGGTGGATACTGAAAAGGCGCCAGTTTTTGTGGTTCGTGAACTTCATAAGTTACCGCCGATTTTCTTCGATCATATCGATGTGACGAACTTACTGAAGAAGCTATTAATTTTAGAGAAAATTACATTGATGTAAAGCAATATAATGAACTGAAACGAGAGACTGCAGATATGAGAAATTATTGCTAATAATTTTGAATACACTAACATTAACACGAAACGGGATGCCTATTTACCAGATTCACGCTGTGATAGTGCTACCATTGGCTTACAACACATTATATTATCCCTCGAAAACCACGTCGAGCTAGATTTGTGCAATGATAATAATCAGCTAAGTCGCGTACCTCAACAACAATGTTCACTTACTCCACCTCAAGAACGAAACGAACATGTGAAGGCCAGTGCTGCGGTTTCGCACACCCCCACTACTGCGCGTCACCTGCCGCCCGCCTGCAGCATCGTCGGTGCAGCAGGTAGCGGCCTCCGCACTGCGGTTTCGAACTTAGTGACGTGTGCTAATGAGCTCGCGAGGGACCCGATCGCTGTGACATCTACTAATGTAAACAAGCGATCTTATGTTGATACGGTTAAAGACAGTGAATGAAAGATATCGAAACCAGACGAGGAACCACTTGTGCAAAGACGAAGACTGAAGAATAAGTTTATAAGGATGAAAGGAAAAGCAAGTACAGAGTTTACGAATAATTTTAAAGCGGCCCACATTAAGATACCCTTGTTTATCAATAATGTTGACAAAGAAACATCAGTGGATGATATAATCTTTATATATAAATATTACGTGTCACGTTGTTTGTCCGCGATGGACTTCTAAACTAATGAACTGATTTCAATGAAATTTTGCACACTGTGTGCATTTTGGTCCAACTTTAGAGATAGGATAGTTTTTATCCCGATAAATGAACCTCAAAATTTTTTATTGCGAATTTAAGGATTTTTATAGGAAGGGTCGTTGGAAAGGGCAGAACAACGTCTGCCTGGCGAGCTAGTGTACTATATATTTAAGAGAACACAAGTTAAAGTATTTTTAGAAGAGATTAAAATGAAGTATGAACGTGAATATAATTCTTTTAAGGTTTATGTGCCGAGGTTTAAAATTAATATTTTTCTTGATAGTAGTCTGTGGCCGGAGGGAATATCATTTCACAAATATATTAACTTCAGGAACCGTAGAGTAGTTAAAAACCACAGTAATCCTGTTGCATCACCTAAATAATGGATAATAAATACTTGAAAATTATATCCTTTAATTGTAAATCAGTGACAAGGTTAGTCGAAGGCGTACGAGCGCTATGTAAATTGCGGATGTCATAGCGTTGCAGGAGACACGGCTGTTACCGCATGATGCAGCTGACATTGCGGGAATCCATCCAGAATTTGACTGTTGCAATAAATCTGCGGTTAACACCGGTGACGGTTTGTTAAGAGGTCGATTGTACGGTGGTGTAAGAAACCAAAGTCAAATAAATAAATATTTTGAAATCTGTTGTGAAAAACTTAGATATATAGATTGTGCCAACCGCCGCTGTTCTAGTTTAGAACATAAATTAGTAATCAATAAAATGTATGATAGTATTGTATGTACTTTGAGAGAGGCGGCAATAGCGACTCATGAGTATAGGGAATGTAGAAACAAATATGTTGTAAGGTTGGAATAAATATGTTAAACCATTTCACAGTGACGCTCGAATTTGCTTTCAAAGGTGGATGGTGGGTTTATATGGAAAACCTAAAATTGGAATTTATTACGAAAAAATGAAAAAAAGTAGAAAACTGAATAAATCAAAAATAAAATAGTGTCAGGATAACAAACAAAAAATGAAAATGGAAATTTTGGCCACACAAATTGAAACAACAGACTTTTCTAAATTTTGGAATCAAACCAACAAATTGAATCCAAGGCCGAGCGTCTCTGCGAGTGTGGATGGCGAAAGTGACGCGAGGAGGGTGGCAAATATTTTTAATAACCACGTTAAGTATACCAAGCGACAATCGTCACAGAATTTCGATGCAGGTATCCGGGATGGAGATGAAACCACGTGCTTTATGACTAAGCATGTTAAAGACGTAATAAAGAACACGAAGCACGGTAAATCTCCAGGTCATGACGATATCAGTATCGAACACCTGCAACATGCTGGTGTCCACCTTCCGCATGTCCTAGCCATGTTATTTACTTTTTGCATAGGACACTCGTACTTATACTTTCTGATTTTATGAAAACGATAGTTGTGCCAGTACTGAAAAATAACACAGGAGATTCGTCGGACTAAAACAACTATAGACCTATCTCACTGGCTACTACTATTGCGAAAATGATGGACGGTCTGCTTGAGAGGAAGTTACAGGCATCCCTTAACTGCGTTATGCACATTTTGGTTTTAGACCACAGAAAGTGCGATACTTTGTCTCAAGCACACCGTGCGGTACTACACAAATCGTAGACAACCAATTATAGCCTGTTTTTGGACCTATGGAAGGCCTTTGACACGGTTAAATACAATGTACTTTGGAAGAAGCTGGATAATGAAACGAATAACTTTCCTAATGACCTAATAGGTCTGTTTCAGGATTGGTACGACAATCAACAGAATCGGATAAGGTGGGCAGGAGTGCTATCTAAGGCGTATGGGCTGGAGTGTGGGGTAGGACAGGGCTACAATATGGTGCTGCTAAGCCCATCTATCAGTGGTCTAAGAAAATTACTTAGTATCTGTGAGAAGTATGCAGCAGCTCACGGCCTATATTGCAATATTAAGAAGAGTGAGATCGTATTTTTTAAATCAAAAATTAAGAGCTATAATTTACCCACTGTCGCTCTTGAAGGCGTGCCACTGAAAAGAGTGACAAGTTTTCAGTACCTGGGGCACTGGGTTACTGAAAATATGTCAGATGGTGCTGACATAGAGAGGGAACGCAGGGCTCTAGCTATGAGAGCGAATGTGCTCGCCCGTAGATTTGCACGGTATAATACAGAAGTTAAACAAACTCTCTTCAGAGCTTATTGTTAGTCTTTTTACACCTATGGGTTGTATATATTTTTTCTTTTTTTTATAGGAGAGGGGGCAAACGAGCATGCGGCTCACCTGATGGTAAGTGACTACCGCCGCCCATGAACAACCGCAACACCAGGGGAATTGCAGATGCGTTGCCGGCCTTTTAAAAAGGAGTAGGCTATTTTCTTGAAGGTCCCTATATATGTTTATATATGTTTTACAGTCTATGGATTGAGTATACACAGAGGACGCTTGCAACTTTTTGCAAATATAATAATAATATACTGCCGAACCAGATGAGGAAACTTTATTGATACCCCAATATAAATAAAATTGAAGCGTCTGTCTGTAACATCGAAATAACTGCCTTTTTTCGAGCTTAGGGGATTATTTATATGTCGTTAAGACATGAGTTGTAAATTTTTGTCTGTCTGTCTGTCCGGTCTAATCTTCGGAAAAACTGAACTAATTGTGATGAAACTTTACGAACAGATAGGGAGCAATACCAGGAGCTACATTTTATGCGACAAACTTGGTTTTTTTTGTGAAATGGACAATTTCAAAAAATATTATTTAACACTTTCCGGGACGGACCGCCTCTCGACTTTATCTCGGTATATCGTTACGTGGCAGTACGGCCAAGGGCGATGAACTTTATTTCATGTAATTTAGCAGGCCGTCGATAGCCGTTGCTTTTTCATAACATTCCTAGGAAGCACATGATCTAGTGTCATATTACGCGACTACATTCGTTCGTAGGTGTCACAGTAAACTATTTTCGAGTCATTTTTCAACACACACATCCGCACCAAAACAACACATTCACACCGCCGATAGGCGTAGACTGAGTCATACAAGTTCAATGATATTGATATTTAGTGTCACTGCGTGTGCGCCGCCAGCGTGTCGTCGCATCGCTGTGTGGTTTTTTATTTTCGTCAGCGAAAGCAAGGTAAATAAAGCTTATTTATACCTATAATCTAATTTAGTTTGATTCATATATGTCACACGGGCCACCGCAATCCACTTTTCGCCCCTCCGAGAGACAGGACATGACGGGTGGCGAACCTCGTCGCAGGTTTTTCTCCCGGAGATTTTTCGCACCCCTGCCCCATTAAATAGGCGCCGGGAACTCGGGGCCATTTCTTTTATTTGTTGGCTCATGGTGCGAACTAAGGGGTGGTAGATTTTACGCCGCTAGAGTCGGGAAGGGACGCCCTAGACGAAGGTTTATCGATCAAATCGGCGATACATTGAAAATGGGCTAGATTAGGAGTACCCTTAACCGACGAGCGTGTATGCGACGAGATATATGGATGTAAATGAGGCGAGAGAGGTGTGTCAGAATTGCGCCAAATGGAAGTCCGTAGTCTCTGCCCACTATTTTAGCTTCATACTAACTGCTTTTATTGTGAGTATTTACCTATATTGTTTCGCAGATGGCTTCTAAATGGGAGAAACTGACACCAAGTAACTGTCCAAGTCTGTTTTCTGCCA